CTAAAACATGACTAGGCAATTTCCATTAATGTTTGTTATTTGAGTTCCTCTAGAATATTCTCTAGACTTTGGGATGTAGCTGAGTTGTGGGATGTTTACTCACCATGCAACTAGTCCTGGGACTGATGCTCAGCATAGCACCATACAGAAATAATTTCACTGAAGTAAAACCCTAATCCCCAGCTTTTTGTACATCAACATGCTCAGAAGTAAGATAGACTTTTAGCTTCCTCTTGGGAAATATATTTCAATTCCATCTGACAACAAGTACATTTTCAAAAGAAGTTTCTGTAAATAAGGAAAGCAGTATAAGAAATCAAATTGTAATTGATCTTTGGCAAAAGAACAGAAAATGTGAAGCTCTACAGATTAATTACAAAAATATAACACTGGTACAGGTTTAAAAGCTGTGAGATCTTTTTTAAACATTATGTTATAATTTCCTCCATATGGCTTCTTGGAAATAGTTGCATTCTCTTGTGCTACTTGGCTATAAGCCTTGCGAATGTCTTCTGTAGAGTACCTGATATAGAAAAACTTCAGTAGTTATTAGATATTGGAATAATGTACCCTGTTGTATGAAGAAAAGCTTCATTACAAGCCATACAATTAAAAAAAATTGAAAAGTTATCACCAAGTTCTGTTGTTGATGAAGAATGCTACTTCATGTACTCAACCCACATTATTTTCAATAGTTTCAGTACTTCTGAAGTGTGCAGTTCATGGTTAGTATCCTGCTGTGTCTCTTATTTTTAGAATACTAGATTTCTAAAAAATGACTTCTTATGTTACCACAATTTAGTAAATGTTTGTTGTGAGGTTTGTATTCCAGGTGTGCTAGCCAGAGAGAAGTCTGACTTTTTCCATTGTGTATGATGAACCTGGAGATGTGTCCACATGCACACAGATGCTTTCGTGTTTGATGCTGTATTATCATTTTATCTAGTGATTGCTGATGAACAGGTTAATCTGTTGACTTTTGTGTGAGATGGTCATCAGTTATTTAGTAGATCATAAAAACAGGATGACAAGAGGTTAGAGCTTGAAAGGGGGCTATTTAGTGAATGATGAGGAATAATGATGTTCACTTGTTTCATCAGATTACAAATTTACTGCCTCCGATAGATTACTTAAGATAATGCTGTTTGAAGTGTGGTTATACCCACCTTATCTTAGCTTCTTGTCCTGATTATCTGGGTTCTTGTCAGTAAGACATACCACAGAAGTAAAAAGTAGCCTCAGGCCTTAGAGGCTTTACTCTCTCTGTGGAAAAAAGAAGATGTTTTTTGAGGTTTCGCGTTATAGGTTGATTTTTTTCCCCCTTAATGTTTATATCTTTGGAAATAAAAGACTATGCCATATGTATTGCAAATGCTTAATCAATTCCTGAAAATGTAAATTAATTAAATAATTGAATTAAAGTAGCCCAACAGTCTGAGCATTTTCATAGCTGCCTTCTTAATAGATGGAGATTTTTCTGACAGTTGGGTTATTTTCTTTATTGGAAATAACCCAGTCCCATTTGCCTTTTTATTTTATGAAAAGATCTAGAAGTTGTCCTAAAATTTCATTTTTAAATTCATTCCATAGGAATCTCAATATTTTCCTATAAGATCACAAGTATTCTTAATGCTGCAATTGTGTCATGTATATCTGATATGTTTTGACTTAAAAAATAATTTGTACATGTATCTAATTATGTTTGATTGGTTTTTATTATCTCAGAATTCAGAGTGAGTATACATCTTCTAACTGAGGAATTCAGAGATTCCAAGATTTGCCCACAATAAAGGGCAGAATAGAAGCTGTACACTCATGTGTTCCTACTGCATTTTCTCTTACTCTATCTTGGTTCCCGAATAAGTCCGACTGTGAAAATAAGAGCTTGCATGTTCTAATTTTTCGTACATAAAACTACTAAGTAGCAAGATAGCAATGTTTCCATGTGTAAAATGTAAATTATCACTAACATTCATACTGTAATTGGAGAGAGAAGACGGTATGGAAGGAAAATAGCAGCAATACAAGATAGTGTCTGTAAAACGAGTGGCTGGGATTATTAACCCCAAGTTTTATAGGTAGGAACTGCTAGGGGTGATAAGTAAAAGTCGGTGCTAAAGGGGAATATAAGTGGGCATCCAAAACAAAGCAAGGAGCAGATGTGAATATTAGTAACACTGTAGACCTTGACATATGTGAAAGGCATTTTCTTGAGAATATAGTCAACAAAGCAAATCAGGATTATGTTTCAATGCTAGGATCTTAATACTTTGTCATGAGTCTGGGAAGCAAGTGGTAGCTTTATGTTTGTTCTTGACCTCCTTCGTTCTACAGTTTAATGCAAGAGCTACATTTAAAATACAATGAATAGTAAATAATATCCCTCAGGATACTTGGGTTAGAGAAAGCATGTGAGCAGACAGCGATAAATGTGTGTGGCCTGGAAAAAAGAAATGTGGCTCTCTGCATTAGAATATAACAAGCTGTACATCATATGAATAGAAAATCTCTACAAAGTGATTAGAATGAGAACCTAATAAATTATAACCCTGAAAATAAATTCCTGTTTTCGGTTTTACTTTATTTATTGAAATTAGATGTTTAATAAGCACTTGAATTCCTCCTCAGAAAAAAAAGCAGCTTCCAAGAGACAACAGCCAAATAGGTCAAAACAATATACCATGTGGCAATGAGGAAGCCCTCACATCAAGACTGTGCAGGCAAACAATATGAGGGGAAGAGTCCCAAGAGCAGACAAAAGAATTGGTTCCCAGTCCTGTAAAAACACCAAGCTAGCAACCACAACATATACACTGAGGACCTGGGGCAGACCCATGCAGGCTCTGTGACTGACGCTGCTCTGTGAGCCCTGCTTAGTTGATTCTGTGCTATGTTTTCATGTAGGGTTCCCAGATTTTCTACGGGGTTCCCAGATCTCCAAGGGGAGGGACCTGATGGAGACCTTCAGTTCTCTCTCTCTCTCTCTCTGTGTGTCTCTCTCTCTGCATATTGTTTGGCTGTGGGTCTCTGCACTGGCTCCCATTAGATGCAGAAGGAAGCCTCTGATGACAACTAGATAGGAGAGATTTATGAGTATAGAAGAATATCATTAGGAATCAATTCATTGGTGTGTGTGTTTGAAAAAAAAATCTAAAAATATTAAGACTTAAGAGTTTATTGGTCAGAAACGGAAATGTACCAGGTATTTTTTTTTTCCCCCTCATGGGACTTATCCAAATTCCCGGCAGTTTAGCCAAGGGTCATTTAATTTGACATTGAGATTACCCAGGGAAGCCAACACTCTCCTCATGTCTTCTCTGTGCTGCCAAGATCCTGCAGTTCTGCTGTCAGATGAGAAGTGTGGTTTTGTGTGAGCCACCGTTTATAATAGCAGGGATTGTGTAAAGATCCCTCTTCCCAGCTCAGCGAACCTGGTGAGACCTTGAGATTCATCCCACAGCCTCTGCCAGGCAGTGCTTCAGCTGGCTAGCTGATTGACAATGGCCTTTTTCTTTTGTTTATTGCTTAGAAATTACTGGGAATACCGAAAGATACACTGTGGTGACAGAGAGCTGATGGTAGTGTTAAAACTGGGGATTCTGGAAGTACAGCTATAGGATATTCAGTTTGCAATCACTTGAAATTCTTACTGTTTCATCTTCGTTTGTAAGATGGGGAATTTATTGCCTTTACCCTCCCTCCTTTTTTTCCTTTGAGGTCCACGGTTACCTATTTTGTTTGTTTTCTTTATTTTTCCTGTATTGTTAATGGATGTTTTTCATATAATACATTCTGATTAAAGTTTTTATCTCCCCAACCGCCTCCCAGAGCCTTCCCAACTTCCCTCCCATCTGAATCTACACCCTATCTGACTCTCCTTAGAAAACAAATACACATCTAAAGAAAAATAAACAAGAAACAAACAAACAAAACAAAACAAAACAAACTGGAATGGGACAAAACCAAAAACTTAGGAAGACTAAGATAAAAAGAAGGCAGAGGCAGACAGATTTGTGTGAATTTGAGGCCAGCCTGGTTCTACATAGTAAGTTCAAGGTTAGCCATGGCTACATAGTGAGACCCTGTCTTAAAAAACAAATAGATATTTAAAAATCCAACCGAGGATTCAGGTGAGATTTGTCACAACTTCCTCAGTGAAGTGTTAGCTTTTGAAAACTATAGTTCTTGACTTGTTTTCACCGAATCAGCTGCTGTTTATGGCATAATACTAGTAGGACCTGCACAGTACTTTGAATTTTCTACATCCTCACATTGAAGCTTTTATATAGTGTTCAAGCTTCCTCTTTGATTGTGCCACAGAACTTTTTTTTTTCCTGATACACCTAAATGAGACATGAGGGCATGTATATATACCAAGAGGACACTAGGACACATTAAAAACTCTGTTATAAGCCCCCAAACACTCCTTTTTTTCTTTTTAATAGAAACATGGATTTTGGTAGAACAGTTTGTGTACCGGTTAACAAGCAGGTGTTGTTAGTGCCCTTAAACCTTTTGGAGCAAGAGTAATAGTAAACATAGAAACATAAAACAAATGTGTTTCCATTGTTGCCTCTGCCTCACAAGTACAGGTCACCCTGAGGCTTCCAGACTTCAGCCACTTTAAATTTCTCTTTAAGCCTGTAATTTTCTGTAACTAACAAATTGCCACACTCCCATTATCACTGTTCTAGGTTAAGTTGCTTCACGGTGTCCCTTTAGTACATTACTTATCCACTGTTGAGACTGTGTTTGCCTCAAATAGGCAGAGATTATTTGAACCAGGTTATTCAAGTAGACACTGTTCATAATTCTCACATTGGCGTTAAACTATTGCACACCAACTATGGGATTCATATCAGCAAGTGTGCATAAGGGTTTGAGAGAGTAGTTTTGCTATATTTTCATTGTGACACTTATGCTATTACTGAGGAAGAAATGTATTATTTAATATAAATTACGTGTATGATCTTATTGCATTGCATTTCATTTTATTTTAGCCACTCTTTGTAAAGAGGATTCCTTATTTTCAAGTCCTGATGTCACTGACATTGCACCGAGTAGGAAGAGAAGACATCACATGCACAAGAATCTTGGGACAGAACCCAAGATGGCTCCACAGGAGCAGCAGCTTCTTGAGAAAGAAAGGTGAGTGCTGTGTCTGATGCGGGACTGAATCCTCATATGAGACAATTAAAATGTTAGAGCTTAAAGCTATGATGTGGGATATTAGAAAGTGACCCAGAAAATATATTTTTCTGCTCTGTGGTTAGTTCTTATTAATATTTCAGGAAGAAATACCAAGAATATAAGCAGTTTTCTTTGTGTTTTTCCACAGTTTAATTAGAAATGGCATATGGGATACTGCAAGTATTAGAATGCATATTGTGTTCAGTAAATCATTTCAATCTAATTTATTGCTTAAATGACACTCAGATTCACATTCAAATTAGCCACTCTATCCAGTTTTCTTTCTTTCTTTTTCTTCTTTTCTCCCTCTGGTAAAATTCTTCTTTCTAATCATCTGTTTACTTTATATCAAATATTGAACTTATATGCTTTATTTTACTCTTGGTTTAAAATTTGAATTTATATTCTAATTTAATTGTAATGAATTTAAAGTAAAAATGTTTTATTATAACAAAACCATGGATATTTGTATAGTATTATCAGTTCAATTCTGAATGAATGATGAGTGTGTGAATTGTTTGTGCGCACGCACACACACACACCCACACACACACTTGGGGGGGGATTTGTTTTCTTTTCTTGTAGGTTGTAGTTGTCTTAGCAGATAGCATTGTTAGATCTCTGCAAAATGTGGGACGAGAACACCTGGAGCTCACAGGGCACTTTCTTGGGTCTCCTGTTTAAAGCTGGGTTTTCTTCACACCCTCATTATAATGTGTCATAGTTGTTAAAATGCAGAAGCAAAGAAAAGGTGAACTGTTTTCAATCAATCCAGGCACCAAACATTTATAAATGCACAAAACTATGTTGTCACAAACTTTTTGTTTGTTCAGAAAATATGTTAATGTTTCATAAAGAGTATGTTATTCCAATTAATGATAAAATAGTCCATGAATTTGAAGGAGAGTGAGGAGGGGTCCATGGATAAGTTTGGAGAAATGAGAAGGAAGGAAGAAATGTTATAATTATATTAATCCCAAATATGAAAAAACTTCACAAGTGTATGTTATTCATGTTGTCAGCATGATTTGTGTAATCTTGATGAAATAATTAATGAATAAATTAGTGTTAAATTTCAAGATGTGGTCTGTAGTGCACATTAACAAGAATGTGGATCTAGAAATCTTGAGATGTTCAGAAAGTTTGAAGTTGTAAGTGATCCTGATACAAAAACATTTTAGTTCTATAAACAATGAGACTATGAAGGGAGACATAAGCTGTGTCTCAGGGGTCTGGCAAGATTACATCAGGATCATTTGAAGTTTCTAGCATGAGTAAGTATTACATATGAACATAACAACTCTCCTAGTCCATAATCCTGGGATTCTAATGGCTGGAGATGGTGGTTTATGCAAGTTCAAGGCCAGCCTTGTTATATAATTAGTTCAAGGCCAACTAGGTATAGAGTGAGACCCTGTCCCCCAAACAAAACAAAACACATACATGGGATTAATTCAAATTTTTATTTTATTTCTGCAATTGGCTGGATCTGTTTGTCCATTGCACAGGATCCATTGTGTATACTATATATGTACAGATAACATACCTAAAATCCAGTCTGCACTCAACTCCTGCTGCTTTCTATGTATACTTGTCATCTTCACCTCTTAACCATTTGAAAGAGGGTGTATAATTCAAGGCATATTTCAAGAGTGAAAAAGACTTATTCCTAAAATATTTTAGGATTACATACTATTTATACAGAAAGTTATTGCCAAGAATAAATTACCGACAATCCAAAATACTCAAGAGAATTCACCCCTTCATTGAGCTAGTCAGTAAGATGTAACTCATGGGTATCAGTTGTGAGTTAGGCATGATGGGAAATTTTAAGGATCCAGAAAGGTCAAAAAAAGGAAATAATTAACCAATATCTCTTACTATCTTTGGTCTGATTGTTTTGTTTGATGAAAATTTTAGGCTATAAGAAAGAAAATGTATTGGATTATGTGGTAAAATAGCATTTTAGATCTTTCCAGTGCATTTGTTAACTAAGTATAAAGTTTTAAGATTGCCAATATTCCCTGTGTACATATTGTTGCTAAAACAAGCTTTTAATATATGTATGGCAGACAGGTGAAAAAAATTTTGCTCTGAATAATGACTATTTTTATAAAGCTTTTAAATAAAAGTAATTTGCTTTTGTTTCTAAAAAAAAATCCACATTATGATTTCAAATGATTGTGTCAGTTTTCCCATATATTTTCAGCATTTTAAAAGTTGTCATAAACCATGTCTTTTTTTAGTTGTATGCCAATCCTTGTAGGACCATCTGTCAAGGCTATCAGTTTGTAGAACTGAAAAGCATATATAAGAATTCTGAGGATTAAAGGCAGTTTACTTTAGCACATGTCAATCAGAACTTGAGTCTCTCACACCCTCTTTATAATTTCTCTTCCATCATCCAAATGAAGTAAGATATTAATGTATAAATGTGGGGGATTTTTCATACTTTAGAATGTCCTTTTTCACTTTGAATATACTACACTAAAATTTTAGAATGCATACAAAATTTAAATACTTGTTCTGCATTTCCAATTAATTGAGGAAAAAAAAAAAAGCTCCTGCAAAAAAAAATAGCTACATTCTTAGCAGGAAATGAAACAAAAAGTCCCAATAACAATACAGAAAAAATGGAATAAGATGGTACTAAGGGGGGTAAGGGTGACATGGCTAAATATTGATGATTACCCTATGTTTTTAAAGCCAAAACTTCTGTGTCTTATACTGCTTCTGAAACATTTTTTTTCTAACAAATTCTCATTAACAATATAACATTATTTGCTCAATAGCATCATAGCCTACCAAGCAAATGAACTGTTAGTACAGCATTAATGGGTAACTATATTTTATATACTTGTTTATATGATGTTTGCTAATTTTATTTGACTGAAGGAGATATATTTTTGTAAAGTTTACTAAAATATATAAAATGTTTCCTTTGGTTGCTTTATAAGGGTATTCAGTAGAAATATCTCTTCCAGTGGAACATGGTTCTGTTTTTGTTGAGGGCTAATGTAGCATGCCCAAAGTTCAGGGTCCAATCCTCTCTGCACTTTGGTGTGGTGATATACCTGTGTAATTGCAACTCTCAGGGAGACTGAAGCAAGAGAATCATAAGTTCAAGGTTAACTTCTTTGCTGACTCCATAGTGAGTTCAATGCCTGTCTGGCCTAAATGACATTGTCTCAAAGACAGGGGGAACAAGAGAATGAGAACATTAGTTGTAACCCATTCAGAATTTAAATATTAGGTCAATCCCTTGCAAGATTATTTCCTCTGTGTCTCCAAAGATGACCCCATATCCTCAGTGGCTGGCATTCATTATATGGTGGCCACCTAACTATACACTGACTAAGGAAATGCACAGTGGTCATTCTTGTTCTTTTCTATGACTTCCCATACATTGCTGTGCAAAGTATTTGCCTTCCTTTATTTCATATAACTTAGTCTTTATAACAGATGCAAATGGATAATTATCCTTGATTTGAAGGTCTTCAGGGTATGTTAGAAACATCACAGAGGATTCAGCTTGAACTATCATCATTTTCTCAATAACCTTAAGGGAAATATGGAGTAAAAACAGTGAAGTGGGGTGAGAATAACAGTGTTCAATCTCAGCATAGGCGGGTAGAATGTGCTCAGAAGTGTGAAGTGTGTTTGTGTTAGGAGAGAGCAAGGCAGATGGTATAGGATGCTGCTGGCTACTGCTCTGAGGAAGACCTTGGTGGACATGTAACCCTGTTAGGAACTCTGCCTTTTTCTCTCATTGACGAGCATCCCATATCAAATCATTCCTCCCATCCCAGCCCATACCCTTATGACCTCCTAGTTCTTACCTGTTGTCCCTGTCAGGCCTCTCTTGTATCCCATCGTCATTACTTTGTGACTGGGGGGAACCTGCTACCAAGGATTTAAAGCTGCCACAGTGCTGAGTTTCTGGTAGGGATCTTTATCTTCCTTTCTGTCCTGGATTCCAGTCTCTCCCTACTTAATGCGTAATCCTGCTGCGGTGTTCCTGAAGGAGCCTCTCCTCCCACACCAACTCCATTTCCTAAGAACTTGGGTCTCTTGGTACAGACCCTGTGACCCTTAGTTTTTCTATGTATTCCCTTTCTGCATTTTCTTCTAGTCCAGCTCCATTCCTTTACTACTCTTTCTTCACAATTTAATGATAAATCCATATCTCTGCATATCTCTGAAGACATAACTTACTTATGACAGACAACATGGAGGAATGAAGCTGTTGACAAACTAAAAGCTTCTCCTTTACTTACCCTGCATGGTTTTAGAAGGTACTTTGCATTCCTATCAGAGGAGAAAATTAATCATCAATATCTCCAACTGTAATCCCAGTGATAAACAACAGTGACTTACTTGTATGTCATATACATTATTGCAGGAGGGACACAAATGTCATGGTACACAACTATTTTAAAATATTGGGTGTAAGGTCCACTCCATGAAATCAAACTCATACCTGACACTGCTAAAATGGCCAAAAATCTGAGACTAGATAAGTCATGGACCCTCAAGGAAAAAAAAAAAAAAAAAAAAAAAAAAAAACCCTACTGCTATTATTCCACTCATAAACTTAGCAACAAAATTACTCCTAATAACACACTGCTATACCACTACATCAGAGCACCACTCAACTGTAACCAGGGAAGCTTCTTCTTGCAGCAGATGGTAATTGGCACAGAGACTCAAACCTGAAAAAACGCAGAGAATGGGAGACTCTAGAGCATTGAGCTATATATGGAATGTCTTTGTCCAGCCCTTCCCCCTCAAGGCTTATGGATCTATACAGAAGAGGAGGCTTTTGGGAAGACTGTGATATCCAGATGTGATAGATGCTGTAAGATCCAAATGTGGTAGATGACTCCAAGGAAACAGTGTCTTGCAGACACAACCAGAATGACACACATATGAACTCAGAGAAACCGTGACGGCATGCA